TCTCTCTCTCTCTCTCTCTCTCTCTCTCTCTCTCTCTCTCTCTCTCTGTCATAAGCTAATTCTCCCCTCTGATATCCACAGAGCCCAGAACCCACCAGGGACCCAAAATGGTGAGACTCACCCCTCCCCCTGCCGAATGCCAGAAGATCAAGTGCCAGTCATGGCTGCTGGGTACTGGCGACAGGAAGGGTTGGTGCTGGAATGAAGGAGCCCGGAGATTTAATCTAGGGCAGCCCAGGGAGCCTCCGGCAGGCCCCCCTCACCAAGGCTGGCTACAGGATCTTGCCCTCCCTTGCCTTTTGATATGCAGATAGAAGGGGAGAAGTTGGGAGCTTTCCTGGCCACCCCCTTCTCACTTGGGAAGAAGGGCTGCCTGGAGCCAGATGCCGCTAGGAATGGTGGCACTCAAGGGTCAGGCCAGTGTGAAGTGGCACAGCCATATCCACTAGAAAGTCATGAAGCCAGTACAGCTGCTTGGCACAGTTCCAGCGAAGCTGAGCAGACCGATGCCATGGCTGTCCTATCTCTAACTTTTGCGTTTTGGTCTCTGCGGATTTTTCTGCATTATGATTCATTTTATGTCTTTTCCTGAGAAAACTTATGTCTGAGTCTTTTTAGGAAAATCTAAAGTTAGCTTTATTTGGCCACTATTTGGAAGTTTTCCTTATGTCCTGAAGATCATTGAGCACAGATAAGCACTTAGCTAGATGAGTGTATCTCCCCCTGAGCAAATTCAAACGGCATAGTTGGTGCAGAACAAACAGAGACAACTGACAAACCCTGACTAGCCAGGAGAGAAGGTTACAGATTTAAGGCTTCCCTATACAATATGCTTAGAGCTCTCTGAAAATGTAGTTTACAGATAGGGGGTTCTACAGGGTACACTCCTGGAGGAATAGAATTCAGTAAATAAGATAGATTGACTAAAATAAACTTTTCCTACTTTACAGCTTAGATGATGAAACATTGTAAAAGAAGTTAAGTATTAGTCTTTGCTATTCATAAAAAGATGGGTTGAGATATCTTCTGTTTGTGTGGAGTGCTTTAAGACTGCAAACACCGCCAGGCGGTGGTGGTGCTCGCCTTTAATCCCAGCACTTGGGAGGCAGAGGCAGGTGGATTTCTGAGTTCGAGGCCAGCCTGGTCTACCGAGTGAGTTCCAGGACAGCCAGAGCTACACAGAGAAACCCTGTCTTGAAAAACCAAAAAAAAAAAAAAAAAAAAGACTGCAAACACCACAAGCCTTCAAGCAAACTGTCATATAATGAATGTGTGTGTTTTGTAGGAGGCATTCTTTAGATTCGTTAAGTTGGTGTTATAGGGTTCATAATGAGAATAAAATCTGTTCTGTCTGTATTTTCTAATTGTAACTGAACTTGTAACCCTGAAAAAGCCAGACATATACTCTGTAGCACTTGGATAATAGTTTCTTTGTCCTGCAAAATTTGTTAAAAAAAAAAAAAAAAAAAACTTGATTGCTAGTCAGTCAGATCAGAGAAAGGAAAAAAAAAAAAAAAAAAAAGACCTGATTGCTAGTCAGAGCCACAGAAGCAGCTGATTAATAGCAAGTGAGAACTGGGAAATTCCCCTGACCATTGCCTGACTCCCTCCCTTCCCTCCAAGACTCCTTATCTCCTCTGCTGAGGTAAACCCTCAAACAGAGGAGGAGAAAGGAAGCACCGGAAGTCAAGGTCACTCTTAGCTACATAGCACTCGGAGGCCAGCCTGGGCTACATACAGAGTTCTAGGCCATCCAGGGCTTTTTTAAAAATTCCAGTTGGGAAGTAATATTTGTGAAAAATTGATGTCCCAAGATCATTAGTCAGGGCTGAGGCTGGGTGAGCCTCCTATAACCAGGCTCTGACACCATTTTTCCTGAAAAGAACTGACTCCTCACGTGGGCCCCCACAGTAACAAGAGAATATCCCTGCCTGCCTGCCTTCTGCATCTGTCTCCCTTTGCCTACAGCTATCAGACCAGGGGCTGGAGAGATAGCCCAGTCAATAAAGTACCTGCCTCACAAACATGAAGATCTGACTTCAGAGCCTCAGCACCCATGTACAAAGCTAGTCACAGTGGCACATCAGTAACCTCAATTCTAGGAGGTGGAGCAGACCTCAGTTCCGGGAGGTGGAGCCAGGCCTCAGTTCTGGGAGGTGGAGCCCGGAGAGTCAGCAGGACTCAGCAGGCAAGCGCTCACAAAAATAAAGCAGTCAGTGAGAGAAAGACACCTGATATTGAATACTCCTGGCCTCCACACACATGTATACACACGCAGAGATGTGTGCGCTCATATGCACCACACCCAGGTGACAACAGAAAAATTAGGAGGACAGCGAGCAGCTTTGTAAGCCTGGTGACCTGAGTTTGATCCCCGGAATCCAAGGAAAAATGGAAGGAGAGAGCCAACGTCACGAAGTCGTCCTCAGCACTCCTATGGCTTGTGAGCCACCCTCACCTCCACTCTGAAGAAACCCTTTGGGTCAGATTACTGAACTCTGCCGACAGGTACACCAACCACTCAAAAAAATGGGGGATGTCTGAATGTTTTCATCTCTCTTCAAAGGCTGAAAATACAGACAGTAATACACAGGCATCTCACCCTCAGCTTTTTTAAAGTGTCCCATTCCAGACCCCTAAGAGGGCATCACAAACTATCCAGTCACTGTCCTAAAGCTGCAGTCACAGGTGGAGCCTCAAAGACAATCAGCCTATGAGGGCATCAGCCCTTACACAGAAACAGCTTGCTCCTCTCAAGAAAAAAGGACTTCTTGGATTGCCTTGAAGAACCAAAACAAGAAACCCTCAGGCCACACCTAGACTAAGACTGCTTAGTTATGACCGTTTCCCTCTGGCCTGCTGCCTCAATTCTTCTTGATTCATTTATGCCTAAAGGCTTGTGTCAGAGATGGAGTTGGGTGTTGCTGGCCCCTTTGTCTTTCCAGTGTGCTTATTGTATTTAAGAATCTCTCCCTCTTTCTCTCTCTCCCTCTCTCAATCTCTATGTCTCTCCTTCCTTCCCTTTCTCCCTTCTTCCCTCCTTCCCTCCCTCCCTTTCTCCCTCCCTCCTCAGATAAGTTTCCCCTAGGGCTCCAGCTCCAGGCCCTGCCCCTGTGTGCTGGGAACAAGACTGCACTGCTAAGCCTAGCTTGATCATCTTTTTAACTTGCAAATTGAGCCAAGCCTGGTGTTGGGACTGACAGAATTGTGGACTTTTGCTCTAAGGTTCTGGTGATAGCTAAGGTTCTGGTGATAGCTTTTAGCATTCTGTCTAAGCTCCACCCCACAGTTACCTGACAACTGCCAGGTAAGCCTGACCCACTATAAAAGGGACTGCTTGCCCCTCCTCCCTCCTCTTGCTCTCTTGCTTCTCTCTTGCCCTCTTGGGTTCTAACCTTCCCTGCCACACACACACACACACCCAACATGGTCATGGCCAGCCTCTACTTTCCTACTCTCTCCCTCTTTCTGCCTTTCTCTGCCTCTACTACCCTCTTAAGTCCCCTCCCCACGCCCTGAATAAACTCTGTTCTGTACTATACCATCGTGTGGCTGGTCCCTCAGGGGGAAGGGATGCCTTGGCATGGGTCCGCTGAGACACTCCCTTCCCCCATACCTCACTACACCTCCGTAGAACATATGTCCCCTCTCTTTATCTTTTTATAAACACATCAATGGCTTCACTAGCCCTGCCTCCGTGCGGGACAAAATGTATCGGGCACAGGAGGCTGTCTACAACACCAGGCACTTTCCATTCATCCAGTCTTCCCAAGCTCTCCTCTCCCAGTGCCTTGCTTGCCTCTAACCCTCAGCCCAATCTTGCTATAACCTTGGAAGATGTACCTTGGAATCTGGAGAGGAGGTACGTGCCCTTGGTCATGACCTCAGCATTTAGGTTTGGGACCTCTACTGTATTACCTTCCCCCACTGTCCCAGGTGCCCATCCCTCTTTGACACAGTATGAGGGCCATAGCCAGCACTCTCCTCTTGACATTTAGTTAGATGGATGCTCCTCAAGGCCCAGCTCTTACCATTCCTGTGGGAGCCACCGTATGTACCCCTCACATCCTGGAGGTTCCTCATACTCAACCTCAAAAACTTGTCCTGGGAATCAGACTGCAGTGAACTTGCAGTCTGACACTGTATGGGGCAGGAAGACATCCTCCTTCCTCCATGCCCCCAGACCTACAGCTTGCCCCCCAGTTCCTCTCTCCAACTTCCCTAACCACTGTATTCATCTTGTGCTCCCACAGAGTGACAAATCTGGAAGCTCATTTTAGAAATTATTTATTTACATTTTCTCTTAAAAATATATATATAGATCTTATTCTCTGTTGATTCTTTGGTTCTGGGTCTTGTGGGGGGAAAGTAGCAGAGCATTCAGGGAGACTCTCTGTAGCTGCCCTTTGTCCAGTAAATCTAGCCTCAGAGCTGGGCTTCCCTGAGATCAGCCCCAGAGGCCTGAGTCTGGGGCAGAGCTGGCATGAGGGGCAAGAACTGGGAGGTATCTGGCAGCCTGACAATCAGGAGCTAGGCTGGAGACTTCATCCTTGAGGGTAGGATGCTGGTGTGTGGAGCTCTGAGGATAGAGACCCTGCACAGGCTGCTGAGATAGTCAGAGGTGTCACACTGGGACAAGTGGTTCTCAGAACCAGGGACTAACTGCTGTTCTCTGTGAACCACTTGAGTACCACATCTTTGTTCTCCTTCACCCAGTTGATGTTGGCTTTCGTCTTCTCCAGGGCTTGCTCCAGAGCCCGAGTGCCGGAGCCAAAGCCCGTCGCCGAGTTCTCCACCTTAAACTGCTCCAGCTGTTTTAAGAAACCAAAGCATCAGATCTGAGCCGATTCTCCAACTCAGCCCCTGAGAACAGGGGTGCTTCCCAGCCCTCTGCCTCTCACTCCACTCACAGGCCCCTGAGGAGTGGGGGCCATATCTTGTTCCCTGGATAAGGGACCCAATCATTCACCTCTCTTTGGGGTTAAGTGCTCACCTACCCAGAAGTTGTGAAACCACAGCCCCAGGTGGGATCTGCTCAGAAGGTATCCGGCTTTATTGTGCATGAGCTCAGAGTTAGCCCTGAGTTTCACCTGAAGTATCTCAACCCAGTAATGAGCCAATGAAACAGGTGCCACATGCAGCAATGACTGTGGGGATTTCTGAACCTCTCAGATGATCGAGTGGCTTCAGTGCCTAGGTGGCTTTTTAAAAAAGTACTAGTAGGGGTGCGGCGCTTGCTAAGCATGATGGAGGCCCTGAGGTCCCATCTCATAGCTTCAAAACAGTAAAGTGGCGTGAAAAGTACACAGGGAGGGGGCCATTGCAACTCACGCCTCTAACGGGATTTTGTGCATACAAAATCCTAGGGAATCCGTGAAAGAACTATCAGAATCCAGGCTGAACTACAGCTCAATTTGCCCAGGATGTGTGAAGCCCTCCTTGATTCCATCCCCAGCACCAAAAACAAAAAGGGAAACTTGTTAGAACTAAGGATCCAGCAAGATTTCATGATATAGAACCATCGTACAACATCAACTGTACTCCTAGGGACAGCAATGAAAACCTGAGATGTCAGAGAATTTTTTACTTGTAACAGCATCAAAAAATTAAGTACTAGGGCCAGGCATGGTGGTGCATGCCTTTGATCTCAGCCTTTGGGTGGCAGCAGCAGAAAGTACTTGATGAGTTCGAACCCAGCCTGGTCTACACAGTGAATTCCAGGCCAGCCAGAGTCACATAGTGAGACCCTGTCTCAAAAAATAAAATAAAATAAAATAAAATAAAATAAAATAAAATAAAATAAAATAAAATAAAAATAATTAAAAAGTGTAGAGGGGTACAGCAGGTGGTGGTGTGCTTGCTGACACATCAAGTCCCTAAGTTGAATATACAAGTACACACGCACACACACACACACACAACTTCTTACAATACCGCAATTAAAAGGCAGAAGCTCAAATTAAAACCAGGGAAAAGACATGAATAGAAGTTATTCCAGCGATATGCAAATGGACAGCAAGCTCCCGCCATTAGCCATTCAGACGCTGCCCAGGGACACGGAAAAACTGGACCCATCGACATTGATGGCAGGAATGTTGCAATAGTGCATTTGCACTGGGCAATAGAGAAGTTATGTCCTGGTTCCTCTTCCCACTCCCATGGTCCCAGGGTGAGGAGAGGTCTGGCCACTTACCTGCTGCAGCTCTAACTCAGTGGAGAAGCGCCGGGTCACTCCCTGGATGAGATTGGCAAAGGAGAAAGATCCTCCACCGTAACTGTGGGGGGTGGGAGAGAGGAGGAGGGAATGAGCATGAGCAGAGGAGGGGCCGAGACTCAAGGACCCTCTCTGCAGGTGTCAGGAAACTATAGGACCCCACAGCCATTCTGTGAGGGAGACCTAAGGAGACAAAACCCAGAACCCCAAGAGACCCTCCTCAGGACAAGCAGGAGGCAAGACTTGAACACAGCTCAGGCTGTGGGTCTCTGACTCCTTGTCCCTGTGGGAGATGTTTCCTCTGGCCACAGTTTTCTTTCTAAGTGAGAAAGTTCAGTACAGGGGTGGAGAGGTGTATGGGTCACCCCAGCACACCCAGTCTCAGCCTTTGATAGTTCAACACTCACTCCTCAAACAGTTTCTTCCAGTTACTCCGGACAAAGTCCCAAGCCAGAGTCTGCCCAACCACATTGTTGGCGATGTTGATGATGGTGTTCGTGGCATCCTGCTTCCGGATGTAGTCTGGGTTCAGAGTGTAACTCAGGTACCTGTGGGCAGCAGGCAAGGGTCACTTGAGGACTGCAGTCCCAGGACACAGGGCTGGGAGCCCCGATGCCACACATACAATCACTGCCTCTCGAATCACTCAGCATCCCTTTGATGTGGGAAGAGCTGTGGGATGGCCTTGGTACCTCCCCTCTGTTGGAGGGAAACTGAGTCACCTACACAGGGTCACAGGATGGCTGGTCATGCAAATGTGTGCTACCATGAAACTCTCTTGAGAGCAGATAAAAGAAGGAAGGCGTTCCTGCCCTCCCACCCCTCACATCAGGTAAAGTGGTCGCCCCTTACTTTGATGGTGAAGGAGACTCAACTGAACTGTTTCTCACAAACACTGAGAGAACAAAGAATATGATTCTCATGGGTTTAGGGGTCATGGATGACCTGTGGAATCGGGAACAATGCCTAGCATAGTCTCTGGAACTGTGCAGGTCTGGCCTATGAAAGGGCTACCAGGCTGGGAGAGACTTCACCCAGGAGCAGGAGACCCTGCCGTGAGGCTCAAAACAGAGCCCACAGCAGTTAAAAGTTAGGGATCTGACCCTGACCTTGACCCTGGCGTAGTCACATACTAAGCCTGTGGTCTCTGAACAACTAATTGTTTTGCCTCTGAGCCTCCCTGTTCTCGCCAGCACATGGCTGAGAGAAGAGGAGACTTCTCAAGGAAGAGGAGCATGGAGTCTGTGGGTGGGGCCAGGTCCTCACCTGTTCAAAATCCACACCTCTTTGCTACAGGTCAAGGCTGTCCGGAGTTTGTCTGCCTCGTTCACTAAAGTTGCTTTCTGGAACTGTTCCCAAGCAAAGTTCCACTCTTCCTCGCCGCCAAAAGCGATAGCATTGCAATAGACAGTAGACCGAAGGTTGGGGTGGATCCTGGGGTGGAGTGAGGGAGTCAGGGGCAGAGGAGCAGCAAGGAGCCGGAGCAAGGAGTTGCCGATGACTGGCCTGGGGCTCTATTTAGTCCAAGGGGCAGATAAGGACAGGCAGGGGAGGCACGGGGTAATACTCACGGGTTATTATCAGTGTTGTTCATCCACTCACTATAAAGCCCAACAACCAGGTCCCTACACTCTTTGAGATCATTGGAACAGGCCGTGCTGATGGCATTAATTTCACCATACCTGTCCCAGGGGTGACATGTGGTTAGTATATCCTGCCCAGATCCCCACCAAGACTATCCTCTTAACACACAACCAGGGGCCTAATTACTAAGGCTCTGTGGTTCAGCTGACCCTTTGGGACTTTTCCTATTCTCTTCCTGCCTTTAGCTTGCATTTTCTTGGCTCCCAAGGCAGACTCTGGTTTTCAGTTTGAGTCTCTGTTAATAAAGTCAGGACTAGGGGAGGGGGTAGTTCAGTTTGTAGATGTTTGTAGTTTTCAGGAAGCCCTGGGTTTGATCCTAGCCCTGTATAAACTGAGTGTGGTGGTGCACACCTGTGATTCTACCACGTGAGAGGCTGAGGTAGGAGGATCAAAACTTTCAGGGCAGCCTGTGCTACCTAAGATGCTGTGACAAAGAAACCCACAAAACTCAAAAGAAACCAGAAGAGCCTACAGGTGAGGTAGATCCCCAAGGCAGTGTCCCATGTTTCTAGGTGGGGTCTCTCTTTGGCTGGTGTCCAGGCATGGAAGGTTCCAGAGGAGAACACTGCCAGGTGGTGTTCTCAGCCCTTAGGTCCCACAGGATCTCCAAAGCCACATAAGACAACGCACTTACTGCTCCATTAGTGTTGGAGGACGACTGGTCCAGTTGCCGGTTATACTTTGGAAGTGGAAGAAGAGGGGTGTGACTTGCTTCTTCAGATAGCTCTGTAGAAAGAATACAGGAGTTGTGTCAAAGGCCCAGGCCGACCTGCCTGGGTAGGCAGCCTCTTTGTAAGCACAAGTGGGTGCTGGCAGGCAGGGAGAGGTCAGGGTGTATCCAAGGCCAGCACTTCCAATCTAGGTTACAGATGACTGAATTGGTGTCCTTCCTCCTCAAAGCCAGACTGACTCAGTCCTAACCCTCTTTGTCCACCCACCATTGCTTCCGACTGTGTCAGGTCTCCTCCAGGATCTTACTGTGAGAAATCTGGGCAACACAGAGATGAGCAGAGGATGGGGGCAAACTATGATTTCCCAGACCAGCGACATCATCCCCTCTTGGCCTTGCATCCTTTCTTGGCTTGTGCCTAATTCTGTGTGCTGCTCTCTTTAATAATAATAATAATAATAATAATAATAATAACCCTAATCTCATGTCAGCCTCATGCTGTCATTAAGTTATTATTTTTTTTCAGATTCTGATTTGATGTGGCAGACTGACTTTTGCAACAAACTGAAGCCATTATCCAATGATAAAAGGAACTGGCCTCTCCCCTCTCCCCTCCCGTGTAAGTAGCGGTGGCTGTGATGTCAACACAGGGCTGCTGGGAGGTGAGAAGGGAGACCGACGACACAACCTGGCAGAGATGAATAATTTGCTACCAAGCTTCTGCAGAAGAGGACTTTGCTAGCCAGTCAGTGGAGGTACACACGTTTAACTCCAGCACTCTGGAGGCAGAGGGAGGTGGATCTCTGAGTTTGAGGCCAGCCTAGAACAGAGTGAGTTCTAGGATAGCCAGAGAAACCTTGGAAAAAAGAAAAAGAAAAAAGAAAAAGAAAAAAGAAAAAGAAAGAGAAAAGGGCTTGCTACGGGGAGGCTCAGAATGAAAGGGCTCCGGGGAAGCCCGGGGCTGTGTGTGGAGGTTGAATCCAAGTCTGCCGGTCGAACTCCGGCCTGGCCCGTGTCCAGTGGCAGCTTGCCCTCGTTCACAGGAGGTGCTGGACCACAGAGGCTGGGGGTACTGGGCACTACACACAGTGAGAAGGGTTACAAGGAGGTCAGAGGTGGAGGTTCCGTCAGTCCCCACTGACTTCAAGAGTGGGCACTGCCAGCTTTACTGCATATAAGAGACCCATGCCAGAGACACCAGACGATCTCGAGAGAATACCCAAGGCCCATGAATATTCATTGATTTCCTTTTCTCTTTCTTTTCTCTTTCCTTCCTTCCTTTTTTATAGTTTTAAAAACTTCTGATCTTTGACAGTCTGATATAAGTACGTCGTTAAGTTCAGTCCTTTCTCTTATTTTTTATGGCAGAGGCTTCGCACATACTGCACACACATTTTCTCACTAAGTCACACCCCAGACTCCTTCCTAGCCCTTCACTTTTGAGTGTCTCCAGTGATGAATTATTTGGCCACCACGTCTCCCCACAGTGAGATCTACAGGTGACAGACTACATGGAGCTTCTGATCCTTCCTTGCCATCGTCATCATCGTCACCAAGATATGGTTGCACTATGTAGTCCTGGCTAGCCTGAAACTTGCCGAGCAGACACCAGGCTGAACTCACACTCAGAGCACCTCCTACCTCTGTCTCCTGAATGCTGGGATTAAAGGCGTGCACCACCACACCCTTTTGTGAGCCTTAGCAGTCTGTTCTGTTTCAATTCTGGTGTGGCTTTGGGTCACTGTTTATTGCCTCACTCTTAAATCCAAAAAGGCCTCTCAGCCTCCTATTTGACAGGAGACCAAGACAAACAGAAATCTCAAGTCAACAAAGGAAAAAGGGAGATTTCAAAAGCTGAGTAACGACTACCCTCCCAGATAGACAAGAAGACACCATGCAGGACACTAAGGTCAGAAATGCGAGAGAAGAATAAAACACCCTGCAGGTGAGAGACAAACACTGAGGGCTCTCTCCCTGAGGGAGAGTGAAGAGTCACCAAGCTGGAAACTAGGAGGGACATGAAAGTCAGCCCAAAGCAAGAGAAAGAAGTGGAAATGCTCAGACCTCCAGAAAGACATGAAATGGACAACAGATAGGGAAGAAGTTCAGAGGGACAGCAAACACATTCTGATATCTATGTCCAAGCCAAAAAGACCCGAACTGGCCCACCAGGAATGCTGCAAGAGCCCAGAAGTCTCCAGGAAGCAAAATTGGTCACACACTGAGAACTGGAAAGGCCAAAAGCATCTGAGGTTGCTAGATCAAGACCTTAGACATTCTGAGGAATGATTTCCAATCTAGAAACTTCCAAAGCCAACTGAATTCTCAGTCCAGCATGAAAGCAAAATAAAACCATTGCTGACCATCTGTCTGAGAAAACCTACTGCCATAAATGCTCTCTCAAAAGTCTCAGAATATGTTCTCCCTGAGAGAAAATAGGGAAGACAGCCATGGGGCTGAGGAAGCAGAGTGCAACTCAGGCAGGACCTTGTGCATGGCCTCAGCAACAGTCTTGGACATGACAGAAGACTTTGGGAAGTACACGAACTCTCCTGTGGGCTCAGTCCACCAAGCCTTACTAGATAGGTGACACAGCTGTCAGCACAGACACACTCCAGCTGGCTCGGAAGGGAATACTGACACCAGTGTGCGCTGAATGGCTGATGGGATAAGCATTGTTGAGCTACGCTACTAGCTTGAGAGGATCCTGGGCAAGCACAAAAACATTAAAAGGCTGTTTACCAAAATATGCATTTGCTATTCTAGGGAGATAGTGGAATTAAAAAAAATTAAAAGAATTCCAGGGGGGCTGGAGAGATGGCTCAGTGGTTAAGAGCACTGACTGCTATTCCAGAGGTCCTGAGTTCAAATCCCAGCAACCACATGGTGGCTCACAACCATCTGTAATGAGATCTGATGCCCTCTTCTGGTGTGTCTGAAGACAGCTACAGTGTATTCATATATAATAAATAAATAAATCTTTAAAAAAAAAAAAAAAGAATTCCAGGCCAACCTACAAAGATTATCTAAAAATTAAACCAATAAGCCAACAAACAATAAAAAGAAGCAAAACAAAAAACAACTAAAAAAAACTGGGCTAGAGAGATGGTTCAGTTAACCCAGGGTTTGCCATAAGGAGTTGAGTTCAATCCCCAGAACACACACACACACAAAACACGGGCGCGCGCACACACACCCCAAATCCCCAACAACAAAAGTCTTAAATGTGGTCTACAGACTATGAACATTCCATCAAATGGGCATTGCGGTGTAACTTGGCCAGTCCCAGCTGTTAGTCACGTATTTCTGTTTTCTTTGTCTGCTGTTTGAAGGATGCAGTGAACATCGCATGGGTGTGGCCTCATCCTGAGCCAGCTCCTACAGGCTTGTCCTCTCCAGCGGGAGCTTCACACACATCTAGGCCACACTATGAACGTGTCAAAGCCTGTAAGACCAGTGTTTTACTGCCAGCCTAGGGGCACATGCTGTGGTGGCCAGGACCACACCTCAGCATACACTGGTGTTGCTGGCAACAGTTGCCTAAGGCACATGGCTGGTAAGATAGGCCTTTAGCTTTCCAGTGCAATGTCCTCTCAGGGCCTCCCCAAATCATTCATTTCCCATGTTTCCAATGAGAAGGCTTTGTTAGGAATCTTGTCTTCTTTTTTGGTGGGGGCGGGAGGGGGAAGGAGGCACCATACTTCTAGCCTTCTCCGTGCCTGTTCGTTTTAGACCCCTTACTCTGCCATCCTCACCAAACCTGTTTTCTTGAAAGAGCTTGGCTGGGTAAAAACTTAACAACTGCCCAGTGGTGCAGGTTAGACCCTGGGATGTCAGCAAATCATACCTTCATGGGGCCATAGACCTCTGTGCGGTCCAACATGAGGTTGAAGTAGTTCAGGCTGCTCAGGGCAGCCGACCAGGGCATGTATTCCGTTTCTTTGTCCAGGAAGAGGGTGTTGTTCAGCGCCAGAGTGATGGGTATCTTTTGAGCACTGAGGACAAACAGGAGGCCCCAGATCAGCACCCACTCAACCCAGACACACTCTGGGGACCATAGCCCAGGTTCTCAAGGACACACCTACAGTTGCATCTCCTGACCCTTTCATATTTTCCACAGGAAAAGGAGTGACACAGGTGTTTGTGGTGTCACCATTGGGGTCCAACCTCAGTCTACTGCCTGTCATCTTCTCTTGCCTATAAACCTCATTTTATTTAGGTTTTTGTTTTTTGTTTTTTTTTTTTTTTTGGACAGGGTTTCTCTGTGGAGCCCTGGCTGTCCTGGAACTCACTCTGTAGACCAGGCTGGCCTTGAACTCAGAAATCCTCAGAAATCCACCTGCCTCTGCCTCCCAAATGCTGGGATTAAAGGCGTGCGCCACCACCGCCCAGCATTATTTACTTCTTACTATGATAATTTTTATTGTTTTGAAAGAGGATTTCTCTATGTAACCCTGGCTGTCCTAGAACTCATTGTGTAGACCATGCTGGCCTCGAACTCACAGAGAAACAACCACCTTCCAGAGGCTGGGATTAAACGTGCACCCCACCATTTATACCGACTTGGTATAATGTATACTGTCTTCCCTAAATCCACACTGCTCAAAAGAGACCCAGCTCAGAGCTCCAAGATCTTAACACTGCTGAACTTCTCCTGGATGTGTGTGTGTGTGTGTGTGTGTGTGTGTGTGTGTGTGTGTGTGTGTGTGTGTAGAGGTGCTCATGTGTTTGTGTGTGTTCTGTGGATGTGTGTATATGTGCCTGCAGGTATGTATGAGTGTATCTATGTATGTGGAGGGCAGAGGCCAGCGTGGGGCGGGGGTCTTCCTCAATTGATCTTCATCTTATTTTTTTGAGACATGAGTCTCTTACTGAACCTGGAACTCATTGAGTCCATGAGGCTGGGTGGCTGAGCTCTGGGACCTGCCTCCCCGAATCAGTGTCAGAGCTATGGTGGTACACTGCCGTTATCAGCTTTTAAGGGCTCAGGGAATGTAATGGTTGTTCTTATGCTGAGTGACAAGGCCTGAGTCATCTCTGCTGACCTTTCTATGAGCTCTTCTAACTGGACCCTTCTCCCATCTTCTGCCTTAGGCTATTTGTGGGCATTTGGTCCACAGATGACTCTGGGAAATGTCACTCAATTCAAAGACCTTGCTCGCTGCCTCACCATAATCACCATGAGCGAGCATGTTATCCTGGGAGGTAGAACAGGTGTTCATTAAGCATCATTGTGCCCGAGTTCTGTCTCTTCTGTCCCTCTCAAGCCAAGTGTTTTTGTTTTGTTTTGTTTTGTTTTTTGTTTTTTTGTTTTTTTTTTCCGAGACAGGGTTTCTCTGTGTAGCCCTGGCTGTCCTGGAACTCACTCTGTAGACCAGGCTAGCCTCGAACTCTCAAACTCAGAAATCTGCCTGTCTCTGCCTCCCAAGTGCTGGGATTAAAGGCGTGTGCCACCACCGCCCAGCTTAGCCAAGTGGTTTTTAAAGCACCAAGCACAGGCCTAGTGTGCACACTGCACTTGGGCAAGCTGGGGCGGTGGGTGGGAAGTGGGCGGTGTAGGAGACCCCTGTGTGCCACTGTGACACGTGGGGTAAGGTGCTCTAATGCCGTCAGAGTCCTGTGAAATGGTCAGGGGACCATGGGAGGCTGCTCTGGGGGTACCTGACACAGCACCCGATGGGCATCAAGGATAGCAGGGAGAATATAGGGTCATTCACCATCAGTCACAGGCTTCTGTGCTCAGCCAGGAGGGCACTCACCTGGCCAGGTCGAAGGAGTCATGGATAATCTGTGCCCGGTTGATGACAGGGATAGCCTAGAAAGGGAAACATCGTGACTTTGGGTTTACAGCACAGGGCAGACGTTGATTTCTGATGGCTCATCGTACCATGGGACACGTAAAAGCAGTGATACCCACAGAAAGATCTGTTTGCAGCTGATTCTGAAGCTTCCTCCAGTTGTTTTCATCATAGTTAACCTGATAGTAGCCGGTTACATTAGTGTTCAGTAAGATCCAGTCATCGGGTGACGACGATGTCCGGAATTTTTCACTCTGGTCTGTGGAGTAAGGCAGAGAGCAGGGCTGGGTGGAATGTGCTCAGAAGGCCATGGAGGACCCCGAGCCTCCTCTCAGCATCCAGCTTGCTTACCCTCCTCCCAATGGTACCCTGTGTGTGACACAGTTCACTTTCTGGGCCTTTGCATGGAAGTGACCCCTCATTCTTGGCTCACTACTCCAGGTGAGCACCACAGCCAGACTCTACAGTTGACTGTTAGAGGGTCCCTGGATGTTTCTGACTGCATGCCTTCCTTTGCCTGCTTCTGAGTGACTTCTCAGTGCCTGGTCACATAAGGCAGCTCCTTGTACCTGCCAATCACTGTCCTAAGCATTTGACAGGAATTCTCTCCTGTGACTCACACAACGGAGCAGGAAGACCAGAGAGGACTAGTAACTTGCCTGGGGCCACATAGAAGCAAGGTGGGAACTGGAAACAAAGCTATCCGCTCCATTTGTTGAGTGAAATAATGAAGGGAACCTTCACTCAGCTCTCCCCCAACCCCCTAACCCCCCCCCCACCCCACTCCCTGAAGAACACAGGCCACGAGCCAACAGATAAGACGGGGCTAGATTACTTTTCTGGACCTCCAGCCAGTAGGGCTCCTCCTCTTGTCCACTTTTGAGAAACGGAATGGGCACAATCCAGAGGTAACTGTAGTGAGAGACCGTGACCCAGAGTGATGATCGGGAACTCTTACAGCCTGGGGTATCCCAATCAGGTGCCCAACACTGAGACCAAGTGTCCACTGTGCTCCTAACTGCACGTGATCACCTCCCTTGTGTCCCACCCTTCCTGGGGACTTTGGTGGCATCATCTGCTCACTTAAAGTCTGAGGGGCGGGTAACATTGGAATTGGGGTCCAGGAGGAAGTGTTCCTGGGAGATTTCTCCTGTACTGGTGTCCACAGTGATGACAGGAAAGCCCATCTGTAGAATCCAGCGGTCCATGATGGTGCGCACCGAGGCTGGGAGTGTGACAGCTGTCTGTTGGTCCACAGCCTGTTCAAGGGACACGGTGTGGCCGTCAAACCACTGTCCTCCCACACCCACCATCCAGGCAGCCTCTGCAGATTCTGGCCAGACTAAGATTAGTGGTGTCACTAATGCAGGGAAGTGGGGCAGAGGACAAGTCTTGCTCTGTCTCTCCTTGTCTGCCCAGAGCTGAGTGAGATGGAGAACCTCTCAGCTTCTAGCTAATTCCATTGTCGGCACACCTGTATGTGGCCCCAAGACATGGCCCATGCCTAGGCCACCTTCTGAATGTATAGAGATGTGAAGAGCTGCCGGGCGGTTGTGGCGCACGCCTTAAATCCCAGCACTTGGGAGGCAGAGGCAGGCGGATTTCTGAGTTCGAGGCCAGCCTGGTCTACAGAGTGTGAGTTCCAGGACAGCCAGGACTGTACAGAGAAACCCTGTCTCGAAAAAAAAAAAAAAGAGAGAAAGAGATGTGAAGAGCAGAGAGGAGAGAAAGCATTGCCCAATGTCACAGGCAGGAGCAAGGGACAGGGCTGTGGGATTGGAAGGAAAGTACCCCCAGTAGAAGGGAATGGGATGCCAAAGCCCTGTTACTGTCTTCTCAGAGCTTTTCCATCTTTCTCGAATGCTTTGGGCAGTGTTTTTGTAATCACAGCAAAAAGCCAGTGACATCTGCTAGTAAGTGAAGCTGTGAACCCCCGAAAGCTGGGCAGAAAAGAAGCTGTCAGAAGG